GAGAAGTCTGAAAAAGGCTTAAGAGTTATTGCGAGCATTATTTACAATAGCCAGAGTAGAAACAATCCAAATGCCCATCAATTGATAAATGGATAAACAAAATATGGTTTTTTTATCCACACGATGGGATATTCTTTGATAATAGAAAGGAATGAGGTACTAATATATGCTACAACATGGATAAACCTTGAAAACATTATGCTAATTGAAAGAAACCAGTCACAAAGGGCCACTTATTGTATTATTCCATGTATATAAATGTCCAAAGGAAGCAAACAGAAAGATTAAGTGGTTGTCAGGGGCTGGGGTAGAGGGGGGTATGGGGAATAACTGCTAGTGGGAATTTCTTTGCTAATGGGGTTTCTTTTTGGGGCACTGAAATATTCTGAAATAAGTAATGAGGTTGAAGAGTTTTGTAAGTATATTAAAAATCACTGAATTGTGCATTTTAAAAATGTGAATTTCATGGTATGTGAATTATGTCTGAATAAAGCTGTTGTCTTTTTTTTTTAATGACAAGTTTTTGCAGATGATAGGCTAGTATACTGTCCAGATAGAGAAAGTGGGACTGCCAGGTAGCAGGGACATCCATAAAACTAATGAAGCTTCAGTGCTGGGCCACTCATTTTACAGGCTCCCGTGAGAGTAGGGAGCTGCTGGGAGAGGTGGAGTGTCTTAGTTGGGAGGGGAAACGGATGCACTCAGGAATCAGATCTGTGTAAGGATTCTGGTAAATCATTATAGAGATCTCAAAAGAAAGGCATCTGTATCTCCATGGCTCCAGTAATACGTTTGTGACTAATTTTTTCATTCTAAATACATATTCATCCTAATTTTATATTTGTTATTGTATATTCCTTGCCTTTACAAGGACTCTCCAAACTATATAAGCTTCAGGACCCAGAAAATTAAGATCTGTCCCTGCAGATAGTTGAGGATCTACTTGAGGTTTTTGCATGAATTTATAGAGATGCCACTTTGGGTGATTTGGTGATTCTCTCCAATAGCACTTGGTTGCTTGGGTGTAGATGAAAGTAGAGTTGGGCTCATCCACAGTTGGGTTTTGGGAGTTGGGATGGTGTCATTAAAAATGTGGGCCACGAAATTTAAACTGGATAAGGGAGGAAATGGAGAAAGGAGAAGTCTGATGGATCATGAGAAAGAAAACGGTGTTACTAGGCTAGGAATAGGCTAAGAAAGCTGTTAAGATTACATAGGAAGATCTTGAAAGGTCAAGTTGGAAGATATGTGGTTAAAGTAGGATGCTGGAGATGAATGACAAAGTCCATAGTAGGGATTGTTTGAGGTGATCTGAATCACAGGAAATGACATGATCATTTCCTCTAAGAAAAAGTTTAATCTGCAAAGCATCTGTGCAAACTGTCCCTTGCATGGAACCTCACCCAGTCCAATGTCCCTTGCATGTGCCTCACTGCTGCCTTCATCCAGGTCCTCAGGAGCTCCCTCTAGCCTGAGGACTTGTGCACTTAGCAGTTTCTCTTTTGTGTGGAATACTCTGTTACTTTGCCAGGTTAACTCTCCTCAACGTGAGAATCTCAGGTTAAGATTCTTCCTCAGGGAAGTCTATCACTCCCCAGCCATTCTCCTACCGGGGGTAGATTCTCCTGTTACATGCCTATATCAGTCTCTATTTTAGTTCACACCATTTCACACCACACATGACTGTATTGTAGACGTTATGGGGCTTATGACTGTAAAATGTTTTTTTTTTCCCAGAGTATTGGAGTGCAAGAGTAGGGCTGGCTTTCCTCCCTGTTGTATCCAGGTCCTCAGGGACGTGCACATACTAGGATGTGCTGTAAATATTTGCTGTACGAATGAAATTTAAGATACTCATGTGTGATAACTTTTTTTAGCATACATTTTAATACGTAAAGATATAAAATCTGATTTAACAGATAATCTAATAATGGCAGACAATGTAAAAATAATGTAAATTTTCTTTCTAAAAGACATGCATGAAGATGTATCTACAACCTTTCCTCAACCCTTGTTTGATCTCTAAAAATACACACCTAAAACAATACAGTTGAACATAGGGAATATACTTAAAAGATTTCTGCAAATATTCTCCTACCTCATAGAAATAAGGTCATTGAATCCCTTATTTGAAATAAAGAAAAGATTATTTGAATTTTGAAGAGCTACATGGTATAAGATATATTACAATTTTCCATTTAAAGAACTTTATAACAGAAATGGAGATAGTGATAATTTTTCTAAAGCCAACAATTAACTACAGAACAGTGAACTAATACATGTTAATTATGAATACTTTTGACTCTATGTACATACACACTTCCAATGGGAGAAGTGAAAAACCAACCCCATGATTTAGTTTCCTTTGGACTTGTGACAATATCTGTATTCACACACTTTAAAAGCATTGCTTTATTATGAGATGCTATAAGAATTACAATCACTGATGTTCTAAAAAGCCCTACAAGGGGCGCCTCGGTGGCTCAGTCAGTTAAGCGTCTGACTTCAGCTCAGGTCATGATTCGTGGGTTTGGGCCCCAGATCGGGCTCTGTGCTGCCAGCTCAGAGCCTGGAGCCTGCTTCAGATTCTGTGCCTCCCTCTCTCTCTGACCCTATCCTGCTCATGCTGCCTCTCTCTCTCTCAGAAATAAATAAAAATATTAAAAAAAAAAAAAAAGCCCTACAAGTTAAGAAAAACAAGCCCCTTTGCTTGTTCTTTCCCTCTGCCCTCCTCACGGTTATCCCTTTTAACTTGGTATAAAACAAGTCTGATTCTCCTTTCTTCACAATTATCCTACAAATCTGTCTAAATGCCCCTTCACGGAAAACTTCCCTCTCATCCCTTCTGAGTCCACCCCGCCCGGTATTCTTTCACATTACTTACTGTATTTGTTTCCCTCAGGGGAACAAACACACACCAGTTTTCGCCCTCAAGGCACACACCATTTATCGCCACAGGTATGCTGACCCTTTGTTTAGGATCCTATGCCACCATAGGAAGGTCACCTCCCTGAATGCAGGGATCTTTGTCACTACCACAGCACCAATTCTCTACTGCAATTGTACATTTTCAGAAAGAGAGGAACTCCAGAATATGAATGTCGTGTTAATAAACAAATGTCTGTGTTAACTTATCTCCTAGTTTTTTTAGCCCTTTTTTTTTTAATGTTTTTATTTATTTCTAGGAGAGAGAGAGACAGCATGAGCAGGGGAGGGTCAGAGAGAGAGGGAATCACAGACTGAAACAGGCTCCAGGCTCTGAGCCGGCAGTCAGCACAGAGCCCGACGCGGGGCTCGAACCCACTAACCGGGAGTTCATGACCTAAGCGAAAGTCGGACGCTTAACCGACTAAGCCACCCAGGCGCCCCTTAGCGCTTTTATTTGATTATACTATCTTCTGAAATTTGTTTCAGGGGTTTGTTTTTCATAAATAGACTGGAAAAGATATTTCTACTACAGGACAATGTTAAGCTCAGGACCAAGTGTCATAATTGTAAAACACACACAAGTCGGCAAATAGAACTAGGGCATCCGGTAAGTGTCCCCGTTCTAGTCCAACATTCCAGGAGTAGATTTTAAACAAATACAAAGTCAAGTGGAAGACACTGGCAACAAACGGAGGGAATGCGAGACTTTAACACGTCCTACAGACAGAATCGGTCAAATACTCCGGCACACGAAGCAGTCCCACCACTCCGCAGGCCTGCTCCCGGGACCAGCCCACGTCAGCCTGGGTGGGTACCCCTGTGTCGCCCGGCCAGGCTAGTCGGAATGGCACGCTCCCCCTCCCCCTCCCGTTCTCGTCCTGAAGTCTTCCGGGCCGGGATCTGGGTCGCGGTCTCCCTCCAAGCTGCAGTGATTTGCAGGCTGTCAAGTGGAGAAACGCCCCCCCCCCCCCCCCGCCCCAAACTCCTGATCTTGTGTTCAGTACAAATTCTAAACTGACGTTCGACAGAGCCAACATGGCAAACCACAAACTGACGCTCGAACATTCCTCGCTCCTCCCAGGGCCCGAGCCCCGGCGGCGCCGGCCTCGCCAAGGCCTCGGCCGCCTTCCCAGACTAGGTGCCAGTTGGGGGCTCCGGCCGCGGCCGCCGCTGGGTGGCCGAGGACCCCGCTCCAGCTTCCTGAACTACAGATCCCAGGGTGCCTCTCGGACTCCCGCTCCCTCCCTCTCTCTCGCTCCCTCCCTCCGTCCGCTCCCTCCGCCCGCGGCCCTTGTTGTTTTGGCTGGAAGCGCTCGGCGGAGTTTCAGAGAAAGTCTGGGCTGAAACCGGAGCCGGCCCGAACGTGGGAAGGGGAGGAGGAAAGGAAGAGGGGACGGGGAGGCCGGGAGAGGGAGGGATCGGGACCGGGGGCCGGGCCGCTCTGACCCTGCAGCGCGCCCCGCGGTGGGGGAGGCGGCCCGGGAGGAGCGTGAGGGGACGGGACAGTGGGGTCGGTCCCCGGAGCCGAGCAGCCGAGCGCCTTGTTCCTCCGCCGCTCCCCGCCCTCTCCGGCGGCGGCACGAACGGACCCACCCTCAGGCGGGACTTGCGCCCTGCCCTGCGCCCGCCGCCCAGCGACGCCCCGCGCTTCGCCGCCACCCGGGCGGCTCCTTGCGTGGCCCAGGACGAGACCCTCGCGGCTTCTCTCTTTATTCTGTGCCCGCCGCTTCCCCGGCGCCGCCGGGAAGTGACCCACCCTCTCCAGAGGAGGGGGCAGGAGAGGATCTCGCCGGGCGCACCGAAGCCGAGAGGGGCGAGCCAGAGTGGGCGCCACGCGGGGCATTGTGTGAGTGTGAGTGTATGTGTGTGTGCGCGCGTGCAACGTAGTGTCTGTTTCGGAAAGAGCTCTGGGGAGGTCCTTTTCCTAGGGGGCGGAGCGCAGGGGACCGAGGCTCGACTCCGTGCCGGGGCGCAGTGCCGCTGAGCCCGAGCGCTGCTGAGGCGGCCGGCGGGACGGCGCGCGTGGCGGCTAGGCGGGCGCGCTGAGAGGAGGCCGGGGCGCCCTCGGCTCGGCGGCGACCCCTGCCCGGAGGTGGCGGCCTTGACGGCGCTACCCGCCGCTGTTCACGTCCGCGGACCCGCGCGGGAGACACTCGGACACGCAGAGCCAGCGCGCCGCGGAGCGTCCCGTCTGCCCCGGCGGCGCCTCGGGAGAGCGAGGTCCCAGCCTGTCTGCGCCGGCGGCAGGCGTCGGCTGTGTCGGGAGCGCGCCCGCCCGCCCGCCCCTCCGCTGCCCGGCCCGGAGCCGGAGAGGCGCGCACGATGAGCGGCGGCGAAGTGGTCTGCTCGGGATGGCTCCGCAAGTCCCCCCCGGAGAAGAAGTTGAAGCGTTATGTAAGTAGAGCTCCGGCCGCCGCTCCGTGGGCCTCCGCGCCCGCACCCCTGCCCTGGTCGCGCGTGGGACGGGCTCCTCAACCTCGTCCCCCATCTGCTTCCCCTCAGCCCCTTCCTCGGCGGGCTCGGGACCGAAGCTGTCCACTCACGCCCTGGCCTCCCTTCTCTCTGCCCGCTAACTTTCTTCCTCCAGATTCCAGACGGCCTGCTTCGCGGGCCTCATCGGCCCGTGGGAGGCCCCGGGATTTCCACCGAATGCCTGCTGCGTGTGTTTATTATTCCTTGTAGCGGAGGTCAGGGGAAGAGATTCTCCTGTCTTTATATCTGCGTTTCATCGCACTGGGGCTGCTCTATACTGAATTTCCCGCAGTGGGAAAACCGCTGAGGTTTTAGTCAGCAACCCTGTGCTCCGCTCTCCAGTCTTCCCCCCTCGAGGCGCGTTGCGTGCGGGAGGCTGTGGTATTAGAAACCAGCATCCCCGATCCGTGCAAAAGAGAAAGAAAAGTTACTACGCGCCCTGCCGTTTGCTTAGCGAGGGTTCGCATTTTCGCGGTTTTGAATACTGGGACTGTGGAGTTTGGCCGGAGAGTCTTGGCAGTTCGCTGCGAGAGGAGGGCGCTGGGGGGAGCCTGGCGGCTGGTGTTCGGGCGCCTTGGACGCGCTGTCAAGCCTCGCGGGGGGCGGGGGGGGGGGACAGCTGCGGCCAGTAGAATTTCTGTGTGTTGTGGTCCTTTTCCAGGCCACCAGGGTTACACAAATGGCATGTGTGTAATTGATACAAGATGCTGATTGTGTGTTGGGTCATTTTAGCTGTTAAAAATATTCCTTGAAAGAACCAACCTTACTTTGGTGGAAATCTGTGTTCTCTTCAGGGGTCCAGAATCTTCCCTCCGTCTCACCCATTGGTTCTTTTGTCGCTGCCCCTTGCGAAGGAAAGAAATGACACGTTGTCCTGGCATATGGAGCCATTGTTTTTTCTAGCACTGTGTGTTTTCAAAAGTAAAATGTATGCCCCGTTAAATATAAATTCACGGTCAGTGCCAGCACTTCCAATGGAACTTGCATCTCGTTGAAGGATATTTACACCCCATATTAGAGCCCAAATTAATCCTATTAGTCACTGCTTGGATGGTGAAGTGCAATATTTAATTTCACCGATTCACCAATGGGTTTCTGGTTCATCTTCTGCCAGCCTTTGTTATAGACAAGTAATTCTCATTTACTTGATGCCACATATCCGAAGAAAGTTCTCCAGAAATCTTGAGCCTTTCTAAATCCTGTCTCTTTGTATTTAAAACAGTTTACCTGAATATTCTGGTAAATGCCGACCGTCTTGCAAAATTTGGGGGAGGCAGTGGTTTTTTTCAGTTCTTGGTTCTAAAAAAGGGTGTGTGTGTGTGTGTGTGTGTGTGTGTGTGTGTGTGTGTGTGTAAGAAGAGGGAGTAGGGAGAGAGGTGTGTTTATTTTGAGAGGCACAGGTTAGGCAACACATAGACCTAAGTAGGTTCTGGGAAGAAACTAAAGGATAGTACATTTGCCAGAAAAGGCAGTGATTATAGAGATTTAATGCATTCTTGGACATGGTTGGTTTATGGCTCTCTCAAAAGATGCCTAGCACTGGACTAGGCACCATAAGATTAGAAAATACAGTAGGGAAAAAACCTTGCCCTTTGGGCTTGCAATTAAATGTACTATAACCTCGGATGAAAATCAGCCTAAAAGATTGTCTTAACAAGGGTAAAGAAAATGAAAAGTCCAAATTAAAAAAAAAAAGTATTATATTTTATTTGATCATTACAACAGTTTTATGAGGTAGTTATTATTTCTCTTTTATAGATGAGAAAACAGTTTCGGTATCTAGAATATGCCACAGATAGGATTTGAACCCAGATCTGCCTTACTGGGCTATGAAAGGGTAATGACTGTAATCTAGTTCATTTCAAGTGGAGTGCAGACGGAATCCTCTCTAAAGCTCCTTTCTGATTATAGCTTTCTAGGAGTCTATGAATATTAGTTTAGAATGCAAGGAAGAGGCGAGCTAGGCATCAGATGTGCAATGCTAAAGAAACATAAGACCCTTGAAGCAGTTTTCTGAGTCTTCGGGGAAATGAGACAAGAATATGAAAAAGTGAGCCAACAACATAAAGTGGTTTCAGATTGTGTGCCCAAGCTGTTATTTATTTTTCTAAATAGATGTTTTGAGGAACAGGCTCAGTGTAGTCCGAAACCGTGGGAATACTTCAGAGACAGAGCAGGATCCCTAAGTTGTGTTTTCAACAAGGGGAAGAGTATGCTTTACAGCTCGGGGGCAGGTGGGGACTTTTCTTGCCTGGCTGAGCATTAGTGTTTTCTTTGTACATGGATGTGGCCCAGGAAGACAGTGTGCAGGGTGCTACCGGAATTTAAAGGGTCCCTGAGGATGACTGGAATATTACAAGTTAAAATGAGGTTGTTCTTCTATTGGAGCTGTCAGTTTGGTTGCCCAGATTTAGACCCAGATTTTTGATCTTTTGGCTTTGGTATTCAATTCAGATTGTTTTTGCTAAGCTAGCTTTGACCCTCAAAGACATTCATATATACATGATTTCCTATGCTTGTTTTCTTTTCATATAAAATCTTTATGAAGGGGCGCCTGGGTGGCTCAGTCAGTTAAGCGTCAGACTTCAGCTTAGGTCATGATCTCATGGTTCGTGGGTTTGAGCCCGGTGTTGGGCCTCATGCTGACAGCTTGGGACCTGGAGCCTGCTTCCAATTCTGTGTCTCCCTCTCTCTCTGCCCCTTTCCTGCTCAAGCTCTGTCTCTCAAAAATAAATAAATGTTAAAAAAATTCTTTTAAATCTTTATGAAAATAAAGGTTAAAAGGAAACATTGTTGGCTATCCAATACGCAAAATGTTACTTGATAATGGTTTTTAATGAATGAATTTGCTGTGAAAAGATATCTTGGATGAGTGGTACTGTTAATTGTTAAATGAGACATCAGGGACTTTGAGCATTGATTCTGTTGGGGAACATTTGGCCCACGGGATTTTGACAGTTGTCTTGCTGTTTACAGTATTTATAGGGTATTTCAGACATTGATTAAGATGATCCTTAAGGGCTTTTATGTGATAAAAAATTGTTTTAGTTTTATCGTTAAAGTCATTTCACGTTATGGTCCCGTTGCATTCCCTTTACATCTCCATTTTATGTTTACTCTTGCAGAGTCAACTTACACAGCATTGTTGTCTTTGCACACTAGTGTGTTCATCTTATATGAAAGCTTTTCTTGAATTTCCTAAAGAGAGTAAAAGGGACATAAAAGAGATGAATGGTGGAGTAGTGAGTAGTTCCTCTAGCCGTTTCATCTTGTTTTATTTTCTTTCTATATTTATTTGCAAAAGAATAAGAACCTCTTGTATGTGTTTCATTCTCTGTCAATTTTTTGAAGTCTACTTAAAGTGGAGGTGAAAATGCTCATGCTTTCTTTCAATTTTGTGACTACTGTGTTTAGGTTTTTGTCCTGTGTTATATATTAAACAGCTGCTTTTTTACTTTAAGGACCTGAATGGAATCATTTACAGATCACCATCACTAGGGTTACAGAGAACAAGTAAACTCTTGGTAATATGCGTTAAACAGTGATGCTCAGTTTTTTTAAAAGAGTTATTTAAAGACAAATCAGATGCTTGAAATAATGGTAGGATTTTCATCAGGACTTGAACTTTCAGCTGAGATAAAATGTAAGTCTGAAAACAAAGGATTGATTGAAGCCAGCTGGCTATCACCATATTACTGTAGGGGGAGCTTCCCTATAGCCTGCCTCATCTCTGGACACCAAATTTGCACTCCCCCACGGCCCAGCCATCAGCACTGGGCAGGTGTGCAGTCTCAGCAGGAGAACCTACTTCTGAGGCTAGGCCAAGGTGGCATCTTAGCTGCCAGCCAGCCTGGGAGTAAGACCTTGGCCAGTTCTTGGGTGTGTAATCTGCACCCAGCTTGGGCTCCACTCTTTAGCTGTCAGTTAATAGGAGGGTTCTTGTCTGGACTTCCAGAACATGCCCCTGGTTTTTGGAAATGGGCCTAGAAACAGAAATAGCCTCTTCCTCTGGGTGGGCATCTGACACCTTACATGATGGAAAGGGACACAGACAGGCAGGCTGTCCTTTTCAGTAGTTTCACTACAGCAAATGGGACTGTGATGTCTGGAAGCTCTTCTAGCACCTTTTTTTTTTTTCTTCTAATTACCAGTAGCAATCAAGGGATTCTGAAGCTTTTGCTTATAGTGACTGAAGGAGCGTAATTATTCTGTTGAAGGAATTTTTTTTTTTCTGGAAAACTTCACTTTCGTAAACATTCCATTCAAATTCTTAATGTTTTCTTTTTACCTTTTCTAATGTGGCAGGAACACTTTCTATTAACAAAGATCATCAACTACCAATTACATTAAGCCTTTATGACAGGTAATAATAGTTCATTCTTTCATTTTGTCTGGACTTAATGATGAGTACAGAATTCTCCATGTAAAACTTGCCAGATTCTTAAGTCTGATTGTTGCCTTTAGGGATTTAAAATAACCATTAGGGGGGCGGCGCCTGGGTGGCTCAGTTGGTTAAGCTTCTGACTTTGGCTGAGGTCACCATCTCACGGTTCCTGGGGTTCGAGCCCCGCATCGGGCTCTGTGCTGCCAGCTGGCTTGGAGCCTGGAGCCTGTTTCGGATTCTATGTCTCCCTCTCTCTCTGACCCTCCCCTGCTCATGCTGTCTCTCTCTCTCAGAAATAAATAAAAAACATTAAAAAAAAATAGGAAATTCTGTCAGTTTGAAAGTGGTTTTAGAATTGTGTTTTAAAAATTGGTTTTTAAGTTTTTTTAAAAGATCAGTTTTTAAAAAGATGACAAGAGTTATACTTGGATAATCTGGTTGCTAGCCGAATTGGTTATTTCTGTGTGCTTTGTCATTATTGACTCTGTTTTAAAAATAAGAAAGATAAAATGACAAAGCCCTTTTTATGACTAAAATT